ATAACATATCAGTTGATAAATTTCTTCCAGATACATTACTACGCTAAGTCAAATTTAAGAATTACCCAATGATATCAATTTCTTAGGGAAGTGTTGAAATAAAATTCCCTTTCTCACAAAACAAATCTTGTTTACGAAACAGCTCACAGGACTAAAGTTCTGGATAGACATAAAAGATACATTGAAGGATTAGTCTTTCATATTAATGTTAAGTTGTGGTTATTAAGGCTATGGGGGTTGGCCTAGTCAAGAGTTTCCTAGTCATTCATTTATTTACTTAAGTTATTGGCTATGTCACTGGTGAAGAAACAAACTATGTTTCTACCAAGAAACAAAAACCACCAATCCCTTTTTATTTAATTAAAAAAACCAAAACACAAAATTGTAAAACTCTACAAAATAACAAAGGAGAAAATCTAGATGACCTCAGGTTTGGCAATACTGTTTTAGATACAACACTAAAGGCGAAAGGAGTAATTCATGAAAAATAATTGGAACGCTAGATTTCATTACAATTAAAAACTTCTGCTCTGCAAAAGACACCATCAAAAGAATCAGAAGATATTATAGGCTGGGAGAAAATACTGCAAAAAATAAATCTGATAAAGAACTATTATCCAAAATATACAAATAACTCTTAACATTCAGCAATAGGAAAACAAATAGCCCAATTAAAAACAGGAAAAAGACCTAATGAGATATCTCACCAAAGATGATGTACAGATGGCAAACATGCATGTGAAAAGATGCTTAATATTAGATGTCATTAGGGATCTGCACATTAAAGCAACAATGAGATACCACTACACACCTATTAGAATGGCCAAAATCCAAAACACTGACACCACCAAATGCTGGCAAGGATGTGGACCAGTGAAACCTCTTATTTGTTGATGGAAGGTATGCAAAATGGTACAGCCACTTTGGAAGACAGTTTGGCAGTTTCTTAAAAAACTAAACATATTCTTTCCATATTACCCCACAATTACACTGGGTCATGTATTTACCCAAATGAGTTTAAAACGTATGAAAACCCGCACACGGATGTTTATGGCAGCCTTCTTCATGATTGCCCAAACTTGAAAGCAACCCAGATGCCCGTCAGTAGGTGAATGGATAAACCGTGGTGCATCCAGATGACAGAATCTTATTTAGCACTAAACAGAAATGAGCTATCCAGCCATGAAGAGACACAGAAAAAACATAAATGCATACTACTAAGTGAAAGAAGCCAATCTGAAAAGGTCACATGCTGCAAGATTCCAAATACATGACATCCTGAACAACGCAAAAATGTGGAGACAACAGACAGATCAATGGGTGCTAAGGGTTGGAAGAAAAAGGGATGAACAGGTGGAGCATAGAAGATCTTTAGGGCAGTGAAAATGTGCCCTGTATGATACTAGAATGGTGAATATATATCATGATACATTTGTCAGAACTCACAGAAGATATGCCAAGAGTAAACTGTGGACTTTGGGTGATGATGATGTCAATGCAGGTTAATCAATTGCAATGAATGGACCACTCTGGTGAGGGATGAGGACAGTGGGGATGCTGTGCAGGCATAGAGAAATGAGGTACCTGGGAAATCTCTTTATCTTCTGCTCGGTTTTGCTGGGAACCTAAAACTGCTCTAAAAAATAAATTTAAAAAACAAAACAAACAAACAAAACACCAGCTGGGCAGTGTCTCGCACCTGCAAATCCCAGCACTTTGGGAGGCCGAGACAGGCGGAGCATGAGGTCAGGAGATCGAGACCATCCCGGCTAACACGGTGAAACCCGTCTCTACTAAAAATACAAAAAATTAGCCAGGCATGGTGGCACATGCCTGTAGTCTCAGCTACTCGGGAGGCTGAGGCAGGAGAATCACTTGAACTCGGGAGGTGGAGGTTGCAGTGAGTCGAGATCATGTCACTGCACTCCAGCCTGGGCAACAGAGCAAAACTCCATCTCAAAACACACACACACACACACACACACACACACACACACACACACACAATCTCAAGGCTAAGAATTTCACCACATAAAATCAAATTCCTGGGTAGCTGCAAGTTTGCTCAGTTAACTCACGTAGTTCAAGTGACTCAGCTGGTCCCTAGATCTTTTCTTACGATTTCAGAGAAAAGTCAGCAAAAACTGCACATTATAGAGGGCGACAGGCATGGCAGCAGTTTCTGGTGCACACGCTGCCTGTCTCCCGGTGACAGAAGGTAACAGAGGCCTAAGAGCACATATACCTGAAGAGCCCTAAGGCTGCCACTGGAGAGTAAACAACTCCACCCAGCACTGCTCCAGGCCGCATGAGGCAACCTCTCTGGAGTCTGCAGGCTTAAAATTGATTTTGGGGAAATAATTTATTATGATTGCCAGTCAGTGACTCATAAACGTGTGTGTGTGTGTGTTTGTATGTGTGCAAGTGCATGTGTGTGCATGTCTTTGTAATTCTTCTTCCACATCCTTCAATTATTTTCTAAGCACCAACAGTAAACTTCTGGGCTACTTTTAGTAAGAGATTCTTCTTCTCTGGAGGAGGACGTTTCATTCCACTTAGCTATGACATACTCAACACTTTTATAGAAAGCAAAAACCGTAGGTGGGAGGTAGGGGTGCTCGTGTTTTTGTAAATTGCCTCTACAGAAGCTGCCACCATTGGTGGGGAAGACCTATATCATAGCTTACAAAAGAAGTATCCTAAAATGGACATAAGCACTATTCATGTGCTTCAGTAGATTAAAAAAGACGGTTGGTGTCTTTTATCTATTTTGAGAAAGAAACAAATTTATATCATGAAAACGTTCACAGAAACTAGAGGTAAGGTTGTAAAAATAAATAAGTACCTTGCTTTCTTATATAATAAGACATTCAAGTATTGGAAAAATGGAATTGCTACACAGGAAGTAATGATTACGTTTAGGCAAACTTTAGCTATTAGATGTCTTTTTTCTTCTCTCATTAAGCACAACCATCACTTAATCAGTGGGCCCACTGGCTGCTGTCTGGAATGAAGAATCCTATGTTGCTTTCCAGCCTCATATTTCCCCTTTGTGTACTACAAGATAGGAGCTGCTTCATTCGAAACATAAAACAATGAGGAAAAAGCTGTTATTGACCAACTGGGTTTGGCTTTGTGCGCTGATCTCAGAAACCGCAGAGTGCCAGCCAGCTTCCATTCAGTGAAGGGACTTGTCTGTCCAACTTGAGTTTAAACAGAGGGAAGCAGACCCGACGTTTAAGAGAATGTATCATACGCCCTCTGCCCACAACCAGGGTCTCATCTGAGCAGTGATGAAAATAGAGGGTCAAAAAAGAAAAAACTAGACACTGTTCATGGAAACAGGAAACACCTCAATGACAACCCATAGAAGCATGCTCGACAGTTAGGAACCCCAGTCTCCTCATTATACACCCATTATCTCGGGGGCCAATTATTTCACACTCCAGCTGCCAATTAACTTATAGGCCACCATGAAACCCACAGAATGCTTCTACTCTGAGAAAGTTCTCAAGTATCTGCTATCATAATATAAACCTAAGTGCCCAGTGAATACTGTTTTTCTATTACAGATTGATCTTTGGATACATTTCCCCAGAAAATGTTATAGCATTTTTGCCTAGCATGGGAGCTCTCTGTGCTTCAATTGCTGCATCAAAAACTGAGCACAGAATTAGGAGATAACTAGGGGAATTATCATAGCACTGAAATTTGAGGTCATTTCCTCATTTTTGAATACCAGAAAATGAAGGATATTTGAAACTGTTCACCACATCTCAGGTGCCATGGGCACTCCACTGTAGAACATCTCACTATTGCTAATAATTACATACCTGTGCTTAAATGTGCCAATGACATATGCCGGTTGAGACTGATCAAAACAAGTCTGGAAGAAGTCTGGTTAGAAGAACATTTTTTTTTTACATACAGATAACATGTTAGCAACTTGAATATTAAATCTGGCACATGAACGTTTACAAGTATTGGGATGTGATTTTCTTTTCTTTTCTTTTTTTGAGATAGGGTCTCACTTTTTCACCCAGCCTGGGGTGCAGTGACGTGAATATGGCTCACTGCAGCCTTGAGCTCCTGGGCTCAAGCAATCCTCCTGCCTCAGTCCCCTGAGTAGCTGGAACTCCAAGTGTATGCTATCACACCCGGCTAATCTTTATATTTTTTGTAGAGATGGGGTTTTGCCTTGCCGCCCAGGCTGGTCTCCAACTCCTGGGCTCAAATGACCCACCCGCCTCAACCACCCAAAGTGCTGGGATTACAGGCGTGAACCATCATGCCTATCTGGGACGTGCTTTTCTAAGGAAGAAACAGACATATCAAGACAACAAGACAACCTCAGAGAAGGTGGCTCCACATACTGATGTTTTACAAACCTGTGTCTGCAACCAACCTCTGGGGTAGGAGCTGGGACACCTGAAGTCTTCGGTCCCTGCTTTGCTAACCTCACCATTTCCCGCCTGTCAAATAATGGGGATGCAGTTCTGCTTCTGCAGCAAAGGAGACACTCGAGCTGCTGGTCTGCCCCAGCAGCTGGCAGGTTGGCACAAAACCCAGCAACATTCAAGGGTGCAATTCAGCTGCTTCTCCAACTAGGAGGGCAAGACAAGGTTTTATCCCACTAAAACATCATGAGCAGCAGAGACCAGCTATACTGATTTTAGTTCTTCTCCCTGTCTGCACTGCTGCAATTCAGAAAAAATTAAAATGCACAAAACACCAAAAAAGTAGTGTGAGAAATGGGGGTAAAGGATGAAAGGGGTGGATATAGAAGGGGTGGCATGCCTTAGCTTATCAACCCTGGATATTAAGTAGGCCCTTTTCTCCCCTCTATCAAATGCAAACCCTTTCACATACTTTGAGTTTTAAAACTAGTTAAAATCTCAAGGAGCTATATTTTAAAAATACATAATCATATAGTAATAGTAAGAACCACGACTTCAGCCATATGGACCAAAAATACGTACATACATACACAGCCCACGTACCACATTCAACTCTGCTAGGCACTTCTGAGTCCACAGGCAACGACCTCCATAGATTTCGTAGGTAGAATTCAATACCTTGCATCATAACTGAAGTTACAAGTGCCCAGTCCGTTAGACTTACTTAGAAAAAAACAATACAACTCTGTGGGCTTCCTATTTCAAACACTGTGTGGGCAACAAGCAGAAAGCAAAGGTTAATTTTGCAAAAAAAAAAAAAAAAAAAAAAAAAAAAAATCAGCTTTGCAAGAAAGGCTTGCATCCAGTGAGCGGGATGGAAAACTGCTTTCATGAATGATTCATCCTTCGAGACTGCGGATGGATTACTCAAGGCCTGCTGATGTGGCCCTTCCTGCACATGTGCCAGGTACCCCTGACAAACGCCAGCTGGGAGGCCACATCCCTTCTCACTGGGAAGTACTAAAAAAATAAAAATAAAAATATAGAGGTCAGGAAGCAGGTAGAGAGTGATACTTAACACACTGAACTAAAAAGAGCAACAATGCCCCCAAATAATTACTTACTTAAAAGCACCCCCGATGGAGTCAGATCTATAAATACAGTAAAGATAAAGAGAAAAGCCTCCCAGTCTGCAACCATCTGTCTCTCTTTGCTGCTTAATAACAACAAGGAAGAGCTGGACGTACAAGTTAGCACTAAAATCAAGCAGAATCTCATTTATCTGGCCCCTTTAGAGAGCAAGGTGTTCCTCCAGAAGAATTTTCCAGAAAATAGCAATTTGCCCTGCACTTACAAAACTTTAAAAATAATTCTAACCATTAATATTTCTGAGGGATTTCTGGTATATTTCTTACCTTCTTCAACGGAGGCAGAGAAGCTAATTTGATCTTTTGGTGAGTATTCTTCATGTGTTGTGTTTTGTTGTTGTTATTGTTGTTCTGTCATCCAGGCTGGAGCACAGTAGCACGATCATGGCTCACTGCAGCCTCAACTTTCCAGGCTCAATTGATCCTCCTGCCTCAGCCTCCTGAGTAGCTGGGACTTCAGGTATGTACCACCACTTGCAGCTAATTTTTGTTTTTGTTTTTGTTTTTGTTTTTTGAGACGGGGTTTTGCCAGATGACCCAGGCTGGACTTGAATTCCTGGGCTCAAGCAATCTGCCCACCTCAATCTCCCAAAGTGTTAGGATAACAGGTGTGAGCCAGTGTGCTCAACCATTATCCCGCTATTTGCTTACAATAACCTAGATGTGCTCCTTAGTGGTTCAAATCCCAACTCCCACTACTTCATAGCAGGGTAAACTTAATCAAGTTACTTTACCTCCCCCAGCCTCTACATCCCTATCTGTAAAATGAGGATAACATGCATCATGTCAAGTGGTTGGCACACAGTCAGCATTTAACAAATGTTACTTCTCTCCTTCCCCCTTTTCCCTTTGCTTTCTCCAATGATGTACTGGGAAAGTCGGTAACCAAACGTGTAAGGAATATTACGATAAGACAATTCTCAGAAGATTCTGAAAGGGGCCGGGCGCGGTGGCTCACGCCTGTAATCCCAGCAGTTTGGAAGGCTGAGGCGGGCAGATCACCTGAGCTCAGGAGTTCGAGACCAACCTGACCAACATGGTGAAACCCCATCTCTACTAAAAATACAAAAATTAGCTTGGCATGGTGGTGCACACCTGTAGTCTCAGTTACATGGGAGGCTGAGGCAGGAGGATTGCTTGAGCCCAGCAGGTGGAGGTTGTAGTGAGCTGAGAGTGCACCACTGCACTCCAGCCTGGGCGACAGGATAGAAACTCTGTCTCAAAAAAAAAAAAAAGGAAAAAAAAAAGGAAAAAAAAAAAAAGAAGAAGAAGAACCTGAAAGGATCTTCAAGGCACCCTAGCAGTGTTGCATAATCTATTGGGGGATCTTAAGACCCCTGTTTCCAGTGCTCCATCTTTGTTGAACTCCAGAGTCTAGGCTGTGTTCCAGGAAGTTGTAGACTTTTTTGTACCTTACTTCAAGGTTTTAGACATAATTTTATTTCAATGGCCTAAATAGGAAAGCAGATTAATTGACATAGCAACTACAAGATCCTGACCATAGAAGGGATGCCTCACTGGCTGATTCTGCAGAACAGGCTTCCTTTCATGTTCCGATAATATCTCCACTTTTCAAAGTTAAAATCAGTATACCCTCATCCACTAAGTGGTTTCGAGCTCTCACTTACACTGCCTAGTTTTGGAAACTGCTACTTTCACAACATGACTTTGTGAAGGTCACACTCCTTATGTCAGGCTGCTTGCTCCAAACCAGTTTGACAGGTGGGAGATGACGGAGATTCTGATATACAAAAAGAGCCCTTGGGGATATCAGGCTTCATTTTTCTACTCTGTAAAGATTGAGGTCTACAGGAGTACGGCAGGTGACCCCAGCAGCACACTCAGCTAGTGATCATGGCTGTATTAGTCCGTTCTCGCGCTGCTAATAAAGACATACCTGAGATTGGGTCATTTATTAAAGAAAGAGGTTTAACTGACTCGCAGTTCTGCAGAGCTGATGAGGCCTCAGGAAACTCACAATCATGATGGAAGGGGAAGCAAACATGTCCTTCTTCACATGCTGGCAGCAAGGAGAAGTGCAGAGTGAAGGGTGGGAAAGGCCCCTTATAAAACCATCAGATCTCATGAGAACTCACTATCACAAGAACAGCATGGAGGTAACCACCCCCATGGTTCAATTACCTTCCACCAGGTCCCTTCCACATGTGGATTATGGGAACTACAGTTCAAGATGAGATTTGGGTGGAGACACAGCCAAACTATCTCAATGGCTAACCTCACCAGAGAGCTCACAGCGAGCCAGATGCTGTATGTGCATCTCACATCGTCAAGAGCCCTCTGAGGTGGCACCATGATCATCACCCCAAGAGAGGGATGCACCAAAGCTCAACGAATTAGAAGAACTGAGCCATCTAGGTCTCCCAGGCTCCACGACCATCCCCTACACTGAGAAACCCCACACATCTCTTCACCCCAAACGCCAAGGTAGCTCCTACCTTCAGCAGAGGTACAAACGTGCTATTCTCCTGACTCCCATAGGCCCAGAATACTCAGTTAAGAACTCGGAAGTTCTCTTGGACAAATACCCAAAACACTGGTCAGAATACAGGCCAAGACGACGACTCCAAGATGAGTCCATCCCTTAAATACTTATTGAAATATTAAATTGCTCTGGCATGATAAGTGTAGGCAAAAAAGTTTTCCACTCGAGTCATGCCAAACACCCTCCCATGGCCACACAGCTGGGCCTACAACATAAGGTTTACATGAACCTCTCACTCCCTACTCACACATTCAGGTACAGATGAAGAAGCAAGCCACCGGCCTCAGGCATGCCTAGAATCACCAAGTCAGCCTAAACCACTGAAACGACTCCCATCAGCTATCCCCACTCTGTGCTTCCCTTGTAGCATTGAAAGCTGTTCCTCCAAGGCTAGTTCAGCCTCCTTAACAAAACAGCTACAGGCAAGACAGAAATATGGTGTGGCCCAGGGCTCAAGCTATTTCATTCCTTGGACACTGTCTGGGAAGCCAGTAGGTGCAGGGGATTTTTTGGCCTTTGTCTTTTCTGCCATCTATTTCATTCACTTGGCCTCACGGTCAGTCCCAAATAATCTCCAACAGCAGAGAAGGGAGCTGGAAGCAGCACAGAACCTGTGGCTGGAAGCCAGCACAGTGGATGACAATGTTAAAGTCTAGATGTTCACGATTTTTAGGGATCCATCATCCCCAAACCCATGGCTGAGAACACCTGGGCATCATATCTGGGCAGAAACTTTGACTATTCCAAATCCTTGGTTTGGGCCGTGGCCTCTTACAGAGCCTTGGATGGGAAGAAAACTTAGAACAGGCCACTTATGGCTCTAAACTCGGGTTGGACAAGAGGAAATTTAGAATGAGCAGCAGTATGTACCTGGAATTAAAAAGGGAACAAAGACACCTCAGAAGCACAACAAGTTTACTCATTTCCCAGGGCTGCCCCAGCAAAGTACCACAAGCTGGGTTAACTCAGAACAGGAATCTATTCTCAGAATTGCTACTGGAGGACAAAACTCTGGAATCAAGGCATTGGCGGGGCTGGTTCCTTGTGGAAGTTCTGAGAAAGAATCTGTTCCTCATCTCTCACTCCTAGTTCCTCGTGGCTCCTGGCAATTCTTGGCATTCCTCGGCTTGTAGATGCAGCTTTCCAATCTCTGCCTCCAGCACCTTGTGGCCTTCCTCCTGTGTGGCTCTGTGTCTTCACCTGGCCTTCTTACGAAGACAACAGTCAGTGGATTTAGCATCTCTCCTAATCTACCACCACCTTAACTATTTATATCTGCTATTTGCAAATCAGGTGACATTGTGAGGTTCTGGATGAGCAAGAATTTTGAGGGGACATTTTTCAACCCAGTAGAGAGAGAAATCAGAAGAGAGAGAGAGCAAATAAATGAGTGGATATGAACTTCTCACTCCCTTCTCAGATGTTCATTTACAGATGAAGAAAAGAGCAGGCCGGGAGCAGTGGCTCCCGCCTGTAATCGCAGCACTTTCGGAGGCCGAGGCGGGCGGATCACAAGGTCAGGAGATCGAGATCATCCTGGCTACCACAGTGAAACCCCATCTCTACTAAAAAATACCCAAAAAAAAAAAAATTAGCTGGGTGTGGTGGCAGGTGCCTGTGGTCCCAGGTATCGGGAGGCTGAGGCAGGAGAATGGCGTGAACCCGGGAGGCAGAGCTTACAGTGAGCTGAGATCACGCCACTGCACTCCAGCCTGGGTGACAGAGCGAGACTCTGTCTCAAAAAATAAATAAATAAATAAAAATAACAAAATGGAAAGAGCAGAAGGCAGGCAGGCACTGAAGTTTCTTCCCACCCCTGTGTTCTTAGATATTAAGAAAACCCCACACAGGTAAGATCCCAGTTAATCAAAATGCCATGGCAGGGCCTTTTCTCTAAGTCCACTAAGTTGATGGATGAGTAAGTTTGACTCTGCCAGACTTTCATCACCTTTGAAAGTTAATCAGTGTTTACAGAATAAAAGAGATGAAGATAATCCCTAGGAATTTGGAAAGATAAATGGTCATAAAGCCTATGGGTTCACTGATGCTTCCGCATTTAACATGATTTTCCTGGCAG